AAAAAAAAAAAAAGGAAAGAAAAAGAGTCAAGGGGGATTAGGGGATAGAAACTGATGGAGATATTTTAGAGATGTCTGAGACGAGACCTGCATGTCTGTGATTCCCCAGGCTTTGCACTCCATGGGAGGCTGCAGATCAGGGCTGGGTGAAGGCTGCCAATCAGGGGCGGGGAAGGCAAACAGGTGCACTGACCTGCGTGGAAGCTTTAAGACCTTTAGGGCCAGGTATATAGGCATTTCAAAAAGTTTATGGAAAGTATGTATTATGAAAAAAAAATTATGTATAGATTTACATTTTTTTCCCCACCAAAATAAACTCTGACTTTAATTCCATTTGCACATTAACTTTTTGAAGTCCTGTGGTAAAAGCAGATACCTCCAGGTTGCTATTGACAGGTACAAGTCAACCCAAGGAAAGCCTATCCTCCAGGACTGCACTGAAGAGCGGGTGGCTTTTAAAGGAAGCATGATATAGTTAGATTCAAAATCTACCAATAATTATTGAGTGCCAACTCTGTGAATGCACGACACAGTACATGCCCACATTATTATACTAGCCTGGCTATTCAGTCACAGAAACCTTATTTGCTGATTAGAGCTATTCTTAGGATGATCACATGCCCCAGTTTGCCTCCACAGTTCTGGGTTACAACTGTTGTCCTAGTGAAATTATTTATAGTGTCCCCTTTCATTCTCAAAAGTATATTGGTTTAGACAATAAGCTACATGATCACCCAAGAGATTCTTATCGATAGCAGGTTGATAAACTCAAAGTCCTAGGGTAGTATAGTTAATCAATCTTTCATTCGACAAATATCTATTGAGTGCCTTCTGCATGCCTGCTGCTTTGTTTGGTGCCGGTAATGCAAACTGAGTACGACAGGGTCCTTGCCCTGAAATAGCACATCGTAATTGGGTAGAACAGATACATAAGCACATACAGGAGAGTACAATGACAGAAGTGGACATTTGGGGGAGGACAGCTAAGAAATGTCACCCTCCCTGTGGTTCTCAGGCTGACCAGAGAATGTAAATGAAGCCACTGTTCTTTACAGTATCATATAAGCCCAGAACTTAATGGGATCTTTGACATGTAACCTGGTTTCTTCTATTTTTTAATAATCTTTCGGTCACCCATTCTATTCTGGGTCCTAAATATTGGAGCCTCCCAAGGCACGTCAGTTGAACCTTCCTTTGGCACACAGACTTAATCCTAGGTGTTTAATGATTTGCCACCCGAAGTTTCATGTTTTAGACTATAGTCTTAGTGGCCAGTGATTGGATGTCCTCTCAGAAAGTCATGTGCTGGGACTTGATTGTAATATTAAGGTGTTTTGTTTTGTTTTGTTTTGTTTTGTTGGGAGACAGAAAGTGAGAAATAATGGCCACACCACAATCCCTTCTCCGCCATTCTCCTCTCAGGATTTGGGGCATACAAGCACATGCGCCCACAGTGAGTTTTACGTCGCCAGGTCCAGGACTTGAACAGTGGTCAACTACATGGGAGTCCAGTGACGTAACCATCTGCTGGCCCCTGTAAAGGTTTTTAAGTGAAAACTTAATTCCTCTCCAGAGTCCCAGAGTGGGGCCTTTCAGTATGAGGATGTCATTAAGGCAGGACCTCCATGACTGAGTTCTGGAAGGGTCTATAAGCACAGGGAATGAGATCAGAACAGCAGAGAGAAAGCCACCGGGGTACAGACCATGTGCGTCTCTGCTCAAAGTTGTACCCTCCACAATTTTGTGATGCCTTTGGACTTTCCTGTCACCTGAACTGTGAGTCAAAATATCCTCTTCAATTCACACAGTCTCAGGTATTTCTGTAAGCAATGCAAAAATGGATAAGATACAGGATATCTCTCACAATCTCTAGTCCTCTCTTCTCTCTTCCAATCACAAATATCCAAACTGCAATCAACATCTCCACTTGGATAGATTCCTCATTTTTAACATACACAAGACTTTCGGCTCCCACCCCAAACCATAACCACGCTCTCATCTATCCCTCTCAAATGCGTTCCCACTTGGTAAAGGGCAACTCCATTCTTCCAGCTCCTCAGGTCAACATTTTGAAGTTGTCACTAACTTCTTTTTCTCTTACATCCCATAGCCAATGTCTTAGCAAAGTCTTTTGGCTTTACCTTTAATGCACATCAAGTATCTCCCATCATTCATTCATTCATTCATTTATAATTTGCCAGAGAGCACATGCACTTGCCAGAGAGAAACAGAGAGAAAAATAGAAAACACCCTCAATGGAGCTGGTCACACGGTAATCCTTCCTCTTCCATTTCTCTGTCCATTTGGGATTTGGGGTGCACATGCACAAGTGCCTGGTGTATTCTTCAAGCTGCCGCTGCATGTGGAACTCAAACCATGTAGTCAGTCATATGAGTTCTAGAGTCCTTAAACGCCGGGCCACGATCCAACTCTCTATTTTTATAATCATGATAGAGAGTACATACGCACACAGAAAGAACTTCTAGCTATCTAACATGCTATATGCTTATTTGTTCATTGTCTGCCTCTACCTCCTTACTCCGCTCCTTAAAGCTGGCCCTTAGAATGTGAGGGGGAGGAGGCCTTCAAAAAGTTCATGGAGGGGCCAGCAGATGGCACAATGGTTACATCACTAGACTCCCTCATAGCTGACTGAGGTTCAAGTCCCAGAGCCAGTAGCTTAAAACTCAACTCAGGCACATGTTATGTGCACGCCCGAGATCCTGAAAGGAGAATGGAGAAGGGGTGGCAGTGTGGCCATTTGCCCTGAGGGGTGATTTCTCACTTTTTCTCTTTGTCGCTCTGTCTCTCTGGCAAAAACACACACTCCATAGCAAAAATCTCTCTTTAAAACAAACAACCAACCAACCAAAAAACTCATGCTGGGTATGTGTGTGCATGTGTGCCAAAGATTCCAAGAGGAGAATGGAGGAGAAGGGACTCCAGCACAGCCATCGCAGACACTCCTGAGGGCTGATTTCTTGCTTTCTGTCTCCGTCTCTCTGGTACATGCCCTATAGGAAAAATCTCTTTTAAAAAAATAATTTTTTATTTAATTTTATTTATTCATTCATTTATTTTAATTTGACCAGAGAGAGACACAGAGAGAAAGTGAGAAAGCAAGCTACCAGATCCAGGACTCAAACCATGGTTGGCCATGTGGGAGTTTCCAACGCCTAAACCATCATGCCACCTGCTGACCTCTGCAAAAATCTCTTAAAAAAAAAAGTTCATGGAAAATGTGCATTATGGAAAAACCATGCATAGATTTCAAGGGTTTGCACCAAAATACTCATCATTTCCATTTTTCAATAATTTTTTTGAATCCCCTCATATAAGTTAAATGAAGGAAAGTATTTTTGTCTCTTTCACTTTCTGCTAGGTCCCAGCAGCTAAAGCAGTGACTGCTTCATAATGGACGCTCAGTGTTTATTGAATGAATACTGGTTCAGTCTGACCATCCTAGCCTCCTAAGCACCTTTGCATTGCTGTGGTTGTGAAAATTGTTTCCTAAATTGATCCTATTCTGGGACCACCAGATGGCGGAATGGGTACATGGCTTGACTCCCACATAGTGGATTAGTTTGGGTCCAAGACCCGGTGGCTTAAAACTCATGCCAAGCATGGGTACGTGCATGCCCAAGATCCCAGAGTAGAATGCAGGAGAAGGGAAGGCGGTGTGGCCATCCCCCCTGGGGGGTGATTTCTCTCACCTTCTGTCTCTCTCTGTCTCTCCAGTGAGCCCACACACCCTATTACAAAAATCTCTCTTAAAAAAAAAGAGAGATAATTACTCTTCTAGAATCTGGGTCATTTCTTTCAGGACAAGTCCAGAGGCTGAGACCTGCGGGGTGGGGGTGGGGGTGATCTCCTGCGGCCTCCAGGTGCGCTCTGCCTTGGAAGCACAAACACAGAGGACTCCTGGACTGGAGACTGTGGTATGCGCTGGCATTTACTAAGCTTAAGGTTTCCTGCGTTTCCCTTGGGTCTTTCTATCTCCAGTAATTCTATTTTCTTCTGTCTGGCTTAGTTTTGCATTTTCAGTGAGTATGAATCATGTGTTACTTCCCTTTTACATTTTTAAAAAACACACACCTTTTCCCCAGTGCATAATCCCTACTCCCACGCTCAGCACTGCACCCCCCTACGTCTTTTTGTTAGCAACTGGCCCCTGGATGAACCTGGGGAAGGGTGTGGTGGAGCAGTTGGGGACTGTGTGGTCTAGGAAAAGGGTGCCTGTATGATACTGTACTATAGGCTCTGGCATTGCAGATGTCAGAGGCAGGAGAGCCGAGAAGTCCCTTTGCGACCCAACCCTACTGCAAAGTTTCTTTGGAACCATACAAGCTTCTGGAAATTCCCTACGGAAAACATGGGTCTATAACAAACACCATTACAAGGGAAACTGCCTGGAGAAAATTTCCCTAAATTATCTCACAACTCCCAACTCTTTAATTAAAACGTAAAGAAGATTCAGAGTTCTATCCATCATCCAGATGTACAAATACTCTCCTGCTGTTCTGATCTGGAAAATAAAATTTCCCTAAACTCCGTAATTTCACTCTAAAGTGCTGCTAAACTTTGCATCCAACATGCATCTGGCCTCCTGGAATCCCCCAACCAATGAATGGAAATGCTGCCCTCTTAGAGACAGTTTAGTGAAATCAGTTCCTTCTTCCCACTGGAGCACGGGAGAAAGGAGTAAAAGCTGCTTAGCGATTTATTTGCCATCGCCTTAGAGAGCGAGCACAGACCGACCGCTCTCTGTGCGACCAACGTGACATGACCCGCCACCTCCTTCGCTGCTTAGGAAAATCCTGCCAGAGATAAAGTCAAGCCCAAGAAATCACAGCTCTGTTGACTCTGTTTTGAAAAGGCACCACCCCAAGAAATAGGCATTTTTCTTTTGCCAGGCGCCAGGTCTCCCGTTTATAAAAAGCAGCCGGCGGCGAGGGACACGCGTCCTTGTAACTCCATCTTTGAATGGGTCAGTTACTTACCCTGCATCTGTCTGCTGTCTGCTGAGGAGGGAAGGCTCGGCTCACATTTCTGGCTTTCGTTTTCTTCCATTGTCCCTGCCGGCGGCACAAGCTCCCTGCTCTCTGCAAACTTCAGAGCTCAGTTCTGAAAGCTCCCAGAACGCGCCTGGAAGGGGCCCCGGGGTGGGGAGGAGGGGACGGTGCGAAACCCCACCCCAAACTATTCTCCACTCCGGTGCAAAGTCTCTTTGGCCCGAGAAAACTGCATTCCAGCGCCGGCCTCCCCCGTTTCCCCCGTCCCCCAGTCCCTCGGTCCCCAGGTGCCTCAGTCTGTCCGCCCGCCAGCCGGCCGGGTCCCTGAGGACTGGGGGCCGAGCTTCCCGGGCGGCGGCCGCCCCTGCCTCGGGCGGGCCCCAAGCGCCTCGCCGCGCCCGCTGGAAGTCCCAACAGGTGATGGCCATTCCTGCCCGGGACGCAGCCTGCCTGGTTCCGCCGGCGCGAGCCACCCAGACTCTGCGGCCGAGGAAGGAAAACAGTTCACACATGATTAGGGACAGGAACCTTTGCTGGAAGCCAGCTCTGTGGTCTCTTTAATCTCTGAGGCCGAGTGTGCTCCGAAGTCGGCTGATAAACACACTAATAAACAGCTCACCGCTCCGTCTCCCAAACTGCAGGGAAATCCCTTAAACCAACAAACAATGGGAAAGACGGAGCATACGCCGCCTCTTAGCACTTTCCGCGCTACTTTCCAGGACTTAACATCTATAAAGAGGTTTAATTTCCCCACCGTTGACTTCAATCGCTTAATCTGGACGTTTAAAAAGAGTTTGACTCATGTGTGTTCACTTACTCGGGCTTCTCCCCTCCCCCGACACACGCGCGCGTGCACACGCGCACACACACACACACACACACACACACCCTTGATCACAAATATGAAAAGTAAACTAGTAAATAAATCAGCCTTCTGAATCTCTCTAGTTAATTACCTGAAAACATTTGAAAAGCAATTAAAATGCTTTTGTTCGGACAGAGTTACATCCAACATACGTTTTCTTTTTTTAAACTACCTACAAATATTTATTTTGCTCTTTACCCAGTCCTTGAAAAGCTGGCAGATTTCCCAGAAAGAGAAAATAGGCACAACGTACACACACACACACACACACACACACACACACACACACATACACACACACACACACGAATGGGGAAATAATCCCGGCAGCATTAGGTCTGCTGTTTCAGACATAGAAAACCACATGGGCACTGATAGGAAGAGGTGATCTTTTCCCTAGGCAGTGGCTCTCTCACGGGAGAGGAAAAGGGACAATGGCTCTCCTGCTGACCATACCTTGACCCAATTGACGGGCCACTCAGGCAAGGTTTTAGATTGATTTAAATCAAGAATGTGCAGGGAACAATGGCTGGCCTATCCTCCGGATTATGACCTCAAGTCACCTGTGTGTTTTGGCAGCACAGGGGACATATTTTGGTCATTAGGACCTAAAGATGTGGAAATGCTTAAAGAACAAAGGATATAGACCAAAAGGAAAGTGGACGTGCCAGCGATGGGAGCCCCTCAGCTCCTCAGGAGACTCTTCTTGAAATCCAAGAAGCTCTGGTGAATCTTCCAGAAAATTCAAGCCATGCCCTGGCAGCAGGATCCAGGCAGCTGGTTTTACGAGGCAGACAACTCAAGGTCTCCATGACTTTGTAACAGAATTACCTGGTAATCTTGCTTTAAGGAGGATCTAATCTTACAGTTTCTGAACCAGAGGCCTGCAGGCAATCGCCAGATGAATCTTGTTTTAACCTTACAATTTCCTTGGGTACACAATGTTCCCAAAGGAGGGTTCACCTATGTCCGTGCCCCCCAGGTCGAGATTATCCTGATTCTAGATAGCTGTTGTGTGTTTATCTTCAAGTTATTAATGCGGGGTGGGGAGAAGTTGGAGAAAGGAAGGGAGAGAGGAGTATTGCAGGTATTATAGGGCCGAAGAAGCAGCCTTCACCAGATGGCCCTGGGCCCTGGGCCCTGGGCTCTGTCCCCACCCTGACTTACTTTGGAATGGAAGAACTCACTCTTAGCTGCATTTATCTGTCACTTGACACAACACAGAGGCTAAATCCCCAGGATGCAGGAGACAACAGCAGGCCTGCCATGGCAAACCACAAAACAGCACCCTGCCCCTAGCCCTTCCTGCCTAGATCAACACAGGCAGAAAAGATCCTTTGAGGGGGGCTGTTAGGAATGTGTCAGAGCAGCCCTTCAGGCCTCTGTTGACCCTAGTGTGGCAAAGTGGGGAAGTTCTCCCACCACGTTTGATCCCCAGGTTCCAGGCAGCCTAAGGGGCTCCCCCAAACAACCCAACCATGTGATCAAGCTGCTAGGATCCTCTCTTCCCCCACTGGCAAAGTAGCAGCCTCCTCTGAGAGTCCACAGAGCCAAAGTCGTTGTGAACGCACAAAAGAAAAAGGCAGTAAGAGAAAGACAACAGAAACCATTAAGGACCCTGAAATCTAGACCCTTATTGACAGTAAAACTTGTTCTCTTGGCTGATCAAACTCTCTGACCATTTTATAGGAAAGAGCTTCTGTTGGACTAGTTACTGGCCCGTGTTCCTTCTTAAGAACAGGAATTGAGGACCAGCAGATGGTGTAGTAGGTGAGGTGTTGGAATCCCGCATGGCTGACTGTGGTTTGAGTCCCTAACTTGGACCTGGCAGCTTGAAACTCACACTGGGCACATGTGCACCCAGGGTCACAAGAGGAGAATGGAGGAAAAAGGATAGTGGGGTGGTCATTCCTTGTGGAGGGTGATTTCTTTCTCTCTCTCTCTCTCTCTCTCTCTCTCTCTCTGGTTAATGCACATGCCTATAGCAAAAATCTCTTCCAAAAAGAGAATAGGAATTTTTTTTCTCTTTTTTTGGAGAGGTTTTTGCTATAGGGAGTGTGCACTCACCAGAGACACAGAGACAGAGAAACAGAAAGCAAGAAATCACTCCCCAGGGGGAATGGCCACGCCGCAATCCCTTCTCTTCCATTCTCCCCTCGGGATCTTGGGCATGCACACACATGCGCCCAGCGTGAGTTTAAGCCACTGGGTCCAGGACTTGAACCGCGGTTGACTACATGTGAGTCCAGCGACATAGCCATTACGCCAACTGCTGGTTCCAAGAGAATAGGAATTAAAAATAGTTTGAGAAGGCTTTGTAGAAGATCCCTTCTCCTCCATTCTCCTCTCGGGATTTTGAGCACACACACACACACGCACACCCCTGGCATGAGTTTTTTCAGATGCCAGGTCCAGTCAGCAGTTGACTATGTGGGAGTCCAGCGATATAAACATTACACCATCTGCCATCTGCTGGTCCCTGTAGAAGGGACTTTTAAAAGTGAAAAGGTCACGGGCCGGAAGGTGGTGTGGTGGTTAAGAGTGCCGGACTCCCACATGGCCAACCTTGGGTAAGTCCTGGACCTGGTGACTTGTATTCTCACTTTCTCTCTCTCTCACTCTGCCCCTCTCCAGACAAATTAAAATTTAAAAAGTTAAATAAAATAATTACTGGGGGGAGGGAATGGAAAGGTCAGCTGGTGGTATGGAGGTTTAGGTGCTGGATCCCACATGGTCAGCTGTGTGGTTGGAGTCCTGGAACTGGCAGTTTGAAAATCATGCCAGGCACATGTGCACGTATGCCCAAAATCCCGAGAGGAGAATGGAGAAGTGACTGGCCATATCCACTGGGAGGTGATTTCTCCCTTTCTTGCCTTTTCTCTTTGTTTCTCTCTGGTGAGCACATGGGCCCTACGGCAAAAACTTAAAAAAAAAGGGGGGTGGGGCAAGGATGGAATGACAGTATGAGTTTATTTGGTGCCAAAAAAGTTGCAATCTCTGACTAGTTTTTCGTATCTGCATTTCCTATGAACTTTCTGAAGGCCCCTCACGTTGATGCCCTTGTACAAAGTATTTCACACATCTCTCCCCAAAGCATATAGACCTTACTAAGAAATTATTTCTTGATCATTAGCTTCTCTGGAAAACAGTAGCTGTATTCTGAAATCTACATAAACTTGATGACTCAAACTGTCATGAAGAATACTATTATTCTCAATGCTGTTACTGTGGAGATGTTCTTTAAGAAATACTGTTTAAGCTGAAAGTACAGTGTGTTTTTTTGTTCATTTAATAGCTGGCCTTAAGAATTGCTATGACAGTCCAACCTGCCTACTGCGGTACTTTGAAATTTGCTGTGAAAGGCAGAAAAGAGAGCGGGAAGAACTTGAAATTTGATTTTCCTCTCATAATATAGGGAGTTACAGTAATGATCTCAGTGGGCTAAATTTTCAACTCTATTTCCGCTAACCAGGAAAGGTGCAAAACTATTTCTTGGTTAATGGGTCCACGTGTTGCAATTTATGACTCAAAATGAGCTAACACACGAAAAAGTACCATTTAAAAGGAAAGACAGATGATGAGATAAAGGGAAGAATGCTGTGAAGGCCAAAGGCGGTTTTGCAGTCATGGCTAACCTATTACAGAGCGGGGCCATTACTGGTTTTGCTAACACGACTTTGGTTGTGTCCACTAGGATGGGAATTAAGCACAAGATCATAAACAATTGCATATGCTTTCTCTGCAGCCCTATTTAATCACAGGGGTGTGGAGGGCACGTCCATTCCCTAAATGTAAGTCTTTCAAGAGAAATCACTGCCAGAACCAAGCATAAGTGGAACTACCTGAGATACAAGGAGTTTTCCAAAAGTTCATGAAAATGTGCTTATAAAAAAAAATCATCATGGATTTTAATTTTTTTGGACCCAAATAAAACTTGTACTTCAATTCCATTTTTCCATTAGCTTTTTCATTTTCTTTTTTTTTTTTATTTTGCCATAGGGCATGTGGGCTCACCAGAGAGAAGTAAGAAATCACCCCACAGAAGGAATGGCCACACCACAATCCTTTCTCCTCCGTTGTTCTCTTGGGATTTTGGGCACACATGTATGTGCACCCAGCATGATTTTTAAGACGCTGGGTCCAGGACTCAAACCTGTGTCAACTAAGTGGGAGTCCAGCACCTTAACCACCATGCCATCTGCTGACCTCACCATTAACTTTTGGTCTCCTTGTATGTTTGATTTTTTTTTTTTTAAGTCCTATTAAGAGTAAAATAGGGCCAGCCCTGCACTGCAGCAAATGGTTGCTGTGCACAGAACAGCCACTGTCAGTGGCTTAAAAAACAGGCTGGAGGCGCATGTACACGAGTGCCCAAGGTCCAGACCAGATGGAGGGGTGGAGGAGGAAGAATTGCAGTAGGACT